TAATTTTTACACGGCAGGGAAATGCAAAAAGGATGTTTTTCTAAAGCCTTTCAAACTGTCAAGAAATACTACAAAAAGATCATTCACTCACCTGGTTGACATAGTGCTACAAGTCATTATGGGAAACTAGCCAATGTGAGTTGCCATGTTGTCTGAACCCAGACCACTTCTTGGATGGAGGGTTATTTGGTGGCAAGAAGCCTCCCTGACATCCCATAACTTGTTCTAGACTTGTTTGATCCACAGTGGGTTGTCAGGTCATCAGAACCTGTGCAAGCAATACCCAAGTGGCACTTTGGAGTGACTGGCACTGGTTTGCCAGCCCTTCCTTTTCTTATGGTTCCAGAAAATGGTGCAAAAAATGTTCATAATTTTCTCGAATTATTTTGCTGTCCTTTTGTGAGCACACAAGGGCACTCTTATGGTTGTCAGATATAAGGAAGTGGGAAATGGAGTAGGTAACTTACATGAGAACTGACAAGACACAACAGCATATCGGCTAATTTCTGTACAGCTGCCAGGGTCCAGCTGCCAAATTCTCAAGTGAAAAGTATCAAATAGGAGAAAAAAGCTGCAGAAGTAGGTGTGCCAAAGAGGGCAGACAATCTTGCCCCCCAGTGAATGTGCACCTGCTGTATTTAAGCGCTGAACAGAGTGTCTTGCAGCTTTCTGATACTTTCTCAAGCTTCCAACTGCTCCAGAAAAGAGAAAGATTGGCACCCCTTCTTTTCATGGTTTTCTTAGTGCTGCTGGCAGGATAGGAGAAGCAACTGATGGGATTCTTGCCTTTCTAGTCCAAATCAGGGCAAGTATTACCTCCACTGCTCTTCCTGCACTGCCGGTTTTGGGGATCCCTGAGCAGTGAGTCCTCAACTGATAACACTGCCTCCCCAAGCACCTTTGAGGGCTAATGCAATGCAAAGGAAGAGCTGAGATGAGGAACAACATAAAACAGGAAAAATGAGGGTGGCCACGTAAAGATTAAATGATTCCTCACTCTCCCGCACTGCTTCTGCATTTTAAATTATTCCTCCCACTTCAGCTTTGGTTTGTACCAATCAGTACTGGGACCCTGTTATTCGGTGTGTGCATTTTGGCCTTTTAAAGGTGTTCGTATTTGTCTTCCCCTCAGAGAAGAACTCAAGAGACGCAATATGTTGCACAACTTCAACAAAGTCTCAAGGGTGCATGGGCTTGGGAATGAAACAAATTGGATTCTTTGTGGAGCTTCTGTACTGCACGGCCACTCTGAATAGCCGCAAAATGCCTGCCTTGAACTAGACACGGACACATGATTGCACATTTCATTTTGCAGCTTTTTAAGCTGTATTTTAAAACCCATTAGTTAAAAGAAATAATAGATTAGCTAGCCATTCTTGACTGGATGTGACTCCGCAGAAGAGGCGATCTATGCCAGGAATTTTATTTCATTAAGCAAGTGATATTATGGAGCATCTGAGAACCCATGCAAGACGCGACAGAATGCCAGAAAGGTTCTAGCTGCCAGTACCCCACAGTGCGTGCCTGATTATTTGCAGATGGGGTGTGTATGTGCAGGGGGAATTGTTACAGGAGTTTTAATCCCACGTTCTGGCTTTGCACAGTAAACATTGCTCATAACCTCAGCTATATGCATGGATTAGCCATCAACATCCTTCTCCACATTTCTTTAAAATGAGCTGAACACACTGCATTTGCACAGGCCACAATAAAAGCCCAGGAGTGACAGCAGAGACTAACCTCAATAAGTCAACTGTCAACACCAATTCTATTTAGCCAATAGCTGCATGTCCAACAAGGAGCTAAATTGGATTCAATCTCTTTTGGGCAAGCCAGTGGTCCCAGAAGCACAATCACTGGTCTAAGATCAACCAGGGAACGTGGGATCAATTAAAACCAGCTTATGGGGATTTATTTTTTTAAGCAACCTAGGGTGGGGGAGAGAGGGAGAATAGGGGGATAATTCACACAACATGGATTAGATCTTTATTCATTTCAGTTCTCCCGATACACAGTCCTTCAGCTGGCTCGTAAAAAGTAGAAACATTATTATCACCCTTTACTGTCTAGCCGAGGGACTAAAGGTCTGCATTTAATTAAAGATACACTCTGGATTTCTTGTCAACCCAGATAACGACTGGTCAAAATGAACGAGAAAAAAGGAATGATGGCACTTTAGCCTCTTGCTGTTAAATAAAATTCTAAATGCTGTTTTGCTGGGAAAAAGCAGGGACAGCTTCCAAGAAGAAAAATCCACACAGCACAGAGGTTCCTAAACTAAACCAACTCTTTTATTGCAAGTTTATTATGGCTTCCCTGTGTTCTCTGCAATGCAAGGTTAACACACACCAGGACATTTTCAGCCAGCCTATCTTATTTGCTATAAGAGTAACTTGGTTTGAATATTGCTCCACTAAAGCCGAAGAGAGGATTGGACGACATACAGAGCAAATCCAAACAAGTACATACATCCAAAGGTAACAAGAAAGGAAAGCTATTTATATTTTCTTATGATGCTTTTCAAGGATAAGCACGTGCAAGAAGATGCAATATGTCTCTTTGTCCACATGAGTGCTGCAGTAACATTTCCCTTGTTCTATCAGCTACAAGTTTTTTGCTGACTGAAATGCACCACGAAGGAAAACATTAAGATGTTAATATGACTGTGCCTTAGAATTAGAACACAGCTGTGCATATCATTCTTATTAAGCCAAGCCTCTGCTCATCACAGCTGAATGATGAGAGTCAGCTTTCATTCCTTTACTGTTAGCCTGCTGGACAAGTTTTGCTTGGCCAAATGCAAGTCTTATGCAGATACACTAAGGTCCAATCGTACAGTCTCCCAATATTGTCGGGATGGGGATGGGATTGTCCCCATTATCTGGGATTATCTAGAGCCCCAGCTGCAAGGTCCTCAAACCATGGAGCTAGAAATTTGAAAGCAGACCCACCACCCTGCCCACCTTGCAGCTGGCCCAGAAAGAACGATGTCAGCTCCAGCTCTAAGATCAGAAATTGGCCTTGGATAGAGAGAGAGAGAGAGAGAGAGAGAGAGAGAGAGAGAGAGAAGGATAGAGAAGGATGGAGAGACATGCTGAGTTGAGAAGCAGGCAAGCTGGGGCCCAGCCTCCTTCCTGCCTTCTCTGTGACATTTTGTCTAGGTGGCCAAAAATGGCTGTCTATATGAAACAGGACAGAGAAAACTGCCGCTCCACACCTTGTGCTCTGCACTGGATGAATTCAGAGGCTTACCTGCATGAAGGGCAGATGACACAGGGCCATGCCCAAAAACTATCCAAGCAGAGGATGCAGCAGCAGGCCCAGGACTGCCGTGCTATCAAGTATATTGTCTCAGCAGTTATTCTGTCCTTTCCCTACCTGCAATGCTCATGGAGCACCTTTCAGCATGGAAGAAATATGCTGGACAAGACCTTATCTGCATAGCTCACTCCCCAGGCAACATCCAGGAGGAATATTTTTATTCAAACTTGTGCCCGACAACAACAAGGCAGAGTTTGAAGGAAAATACTCCTTTTCCTTTTTGAAAAAAGCAGCATTTGCCACATGAATATGGTCAGGCAAAACTATTAATGAAAAGTTGAGCAAGACTACAGATGGAAGACTCATCAAGGCTTGTGCTCATCCTCTGATTTCCACCCCATTCCCAATCCCAAGTGAAAGTTTTGTTGCGATTTGAAAGGGGAAAATACACATTTAGTTGTGCATTTTTAAAGCATGCAGCAAATTGCACATGCTCTTCCCTCGCCAACACCTAAAAATGCTTTTCTTGAATGCATGTTTTTAAAATGCATTGTTAACTTCCCAGAGTGCCTTGGCCGTATAAGCAATAAATAAATAAATATAAATTATATTTTCTATGTTGGATGTGCAAGCTGTGCTTGAAGAATGTGCTTGTATTCAGTGGATATGGTGGGATGGTTCTGATCTTTAATGAACATGTATTTGTAGCCCAGACTTGAAACTGGGTATCTTGGCTTCCCTTCAAATCTATGTAAAGACAAAATCTGTTAATAAAGCAAAGACCTCCCCAAACATTAAGAGAAGGCCAGAAGGTAATCAAGTTGAACTGATGCCCTTCAACTCATCAACCCAAGACAGATAAATTTCCATAAACCAAAGCTAACACCATTTCCCTTCAGGCAGAGCTTAAAAGAAAACAATTTTATGTCAAAGTCAATTGATCAGTTCCGGGCCAACCAGCAGGAAAGAAATTAAGTGCAGCCTTATTCTTTTATAAGCACCTACAGTAACTATTTAGTAGTTCACAGATTCTACTTTTACCCATGACAATAGGTGTAGCAACCTAAGCCAAAGATGAGGAAAGAGCAGAACTCTTAAACAATTCCAAAGGCAAAAGAATCAATGCAGCAAATAGAAGATCAAGATACCTAAATGATACAGAGAAGACTTGCAACTTGTGGATAAGCACAAGACTTCTCTTCCAAAAACTGGATAAAACTAAAACTATCTTACCAACTTAACAAGACAGAGAGCAAAAGGTGGGAAAGTAAGGATTTGGTATTTAGAAATAGCAGAATACCAGCACTACCGTAAATAATAGTGCCATCCTGTGCACATTTACACAGAAGTCCCACAGAATTCAGTGAGACTCATTCCCAGGGAGCTGAATGCCAGCTTGGTGTAGTGGTTAAGAGCATGGGTCTGGGACTCAGGTGGTCTGCGTTTTAGTTCCTGCTCAGTCATGGAGCCAACTGGGTCTCAGACTCTCAGCCTAACCTACGTCACAGGGTTGTTGTGGGAATAAGACTGAAAGCAGGCTTATGTAAGCCACTTCGAGTTCTTTGCAAGAAAAAAGGTGGATATACTGTATTTTTCGCTCTGTAAGACACACTTTTCCCCCCTCAAAAGGGGAAATGTCTGTGCATCTTATAGAGCGAATGTGTGTGTGCCTGATGCCCGGGACACTGCCGGCCACCTGTACCACGTGGCACCACCTGGCCGGCACGCGCTCAGTGCACCCTGCTCTGCCCGCCCCCCCGCTCCGGCACAGGTGAGAGCTGTGCCGCTCAGGGGGAGCGATGCGGAGGAGGAGGAACCACAGGCTTTAACCCACCAGCCGCACGGAGAGATGGACTGCTCACCCCCACCTCCTGGGAAGACCTGCCACCGCTGCTGCGCCACCCGGAAGACCACTGCCGACACGCTGCCAGCCCGGCTGCACCACACCTGGCCGGCACGCGCTCGGCACACCCTGCTCCACCCTCCTCCTCCGGCGCAGGTGAGAGCTGTTAATCACAGGTCAGTGTGTGTTTTCAAATGGCAGCCCATCTTTTAATGAAGCCCATGGGGAAGTGATGGGGAATGTGCCTGTGATTATCAGGAAGCTTTCCATGGATTCCTCCACTAAAAACTAGGTGCATCTTATGGTCAGGTGCATCTTATAGAGCGAAAAATATGGTAAATCTAATAAATAAACGTTGGGTTGCAGCATAATGGTACTGCCATTACAGAATCATGCTGGTGCGCCACTCTGGCAACTCAGCCACCGCATCTGCACCATTCTGATTAGTGTGGGTGATTCTCAGTGCTTTAGCTTGTGTTAGTGGAACTGACTCATTCTTCCTGTTCTGCACTTCTTTGAAACATGTAATGCGGGAGCCGGCGCAGAGGAAGGCATGCAAACAAAAATGTGCACATAAAGCAGGGCTTGCTTTCCCCCTCCTCACCTTTTTGTGTTACACAAAATACAACCAGACATTCATGAATGATGATACTGTTTTCTTTCGCTGGTTGTTAATGTACCAGAAACACCCACCTGTACCTTTAACAGACTGTTTAAGTGAAATCAACCCAATGGCTTATGTGGGTGAGTCAAACTGCAGGATAGCAGGTGGGGGGTGGGGGCAGGGGCAGTTGGGAGGACAAATGGGAAAATAGGGAGTTATGATTCAACCAGACTGGAACAAATTGCTCTTTCCTGGACCCACACCTGCCTCAGGAAGAAACTTTCTCTTTCCTCTGGTCAATACCAGCCACAGGGACAGTGTTAAGGGATGGCTCACTAGGGTTGAAGCCCCAAATCTTTCATTTAGCGCCCTGAATTTCTGGGGGATCATCTCCCTTCCCCCTGCTGCCTGGGGCTGAAGTAACAGCAGAGCAGTGCTGATTATCTCTGTTGCCTCTGATGCCCATGGACTACCTAGCTTTTTGCCAGTTTGTGCTTCCCACTTGAATCTTTCTGTCTGAAGTTCTGTTCTGAAATCAAATTCTCTCCTGTCTATGCATCTCTTTTACAAGTAGTGGTGTCCGTAGGAGACAGGGTCCTTTAAACACAGAAACTTTAGAGCATATGTAAATTAGCACATGCAAATGTGTGCTTGTTTATTTGTTTGTTCTGTGGACATGAGCTCAGGATCCTCTTGGTACCTGGCACCACCCTGAGCTTCAAGAGTCATGGCAGAGAGAAAGAGACTGGCGGGAGAGAAACAGAACATTGGAGATTTTGGGGGCAGGGGGTGGGGATTTTGTAGTTAATGCCAACATGCCTCTACAGAGCTGTGAAAATGATCTTTTTGGAGCAAGCAAAGTACCAACAGGGTATGGTTTTGCCATTTTGTAGGTTCCAACAAAAACAGAGGGACAGCAAATGAAGTGGATCTTCAGCAGTTCGTAATAACAATACCCAAGCAGAGTAAACTTTTATGCTGAGAATCAGACATGGGCACCCCAGAAGGAATCCACAACCAGTACTGGGTTCTCGTGTCTCTCTAGATGATTGGAGCAAAAATTCTTCCCAGACCTTAACAGAAAAGTACAAAGTACACTTTAAAAGGAAAAGCATGAGAAGCATGAGTGAGCACAGATCATTGATGAAAGTGCAGGAAGACGGACATTGGTGAGAACCACCCTTACGGTCTTTCTTGGAGGGTCTGCTGTCACTCTTTGACTAAACCCTCGTGTGCATGCTGCAATCCCCTGCACACGGATTCAGCAGTGAGTCTCACTGAAATGGACGGGATTTCCATGTGCAGGATGAGTCAATCATGACATAATCCCATGCTTGTTTGGGCAACATAAAAATCCTACAACCACCAGCAGGCAGCCATGCTGGCTGGGGAATGCCAGGAGTTATAGGACTTTTTGCTCTCTAATCATGCATAGGATCGCATTCTCAGGGCAGCAAATAATACAACACGATATCCAGCACACTAGAAGGGGCACTGCAATAGGTTTTGAAAGATCGGCTGCCCTCTGAACCCTCTGACTCTCACACACAGAGTACCAGACATTTGACGAGCACACATGCTTTTCCAAAAGTGACTATATCCATGCCTTTCATTGATTTTGGCATCTGCCAATCCCTGAGGAGAACCAGCCTGGAAGATGGGGTGTGGGGCTGGAAATGTTTAACTCAGGACACCTAGAGCAAAAAATTTAACTGCAATTAGCTCAAATCTCCTTTCTTGGCCCATGCACTTCCCACGTCCAAAGGGTCACATCCTGTCCTGCATGTACATCTATCTGAAATCATGATTGCCCTACAGACCACTGCCAGCATAGGTTCAAACACTGGGTATGAAGGGAAGGGACAACTTTTTAGTTCACCTTGCCTGAAATTACAACAGGGCAAATCAATAGAACACGAAGAACATCTAAACAGAACATCAATCCATTTGCCATCCCCAGAGCTGACTCTTTTAGCAAAAAGCAAGGCTGTGAACCTACAGACACTTTGTTTGAGTACAAAGCCCTCTGAACTCAGCTTATGTCCGCATACATTTGCATAGGATCAGGCTGCATCTTCATGACAGTTTTGTGAATGATGGCAATCTGGCTTGGGATGGAAGCAGAGACCCGGAAGGGTTCAGAGGGATTTAATGGGACAACCTCTGGGGTGGGGAGGGAAAGGGTCTCCCCCCTCGGTAGGGACTTCTAAACAAGCCCACATAGGAAAAAACCAAAATACTTCTAAGAACCTGTTAACAGTCCGTGCATGTTATCAAGCTTCAGGAACATTTGCAAAAGGATTCCTGCTCTTCTTCCCAAGTAGTCAGCCTCGAGGCCACAAAAGCCGGGAGGCGAGTGCCAAAGGAAGGCGCGCCGACCCAATACGCTGGGATGGAGAGGCGGCGCGCCGCTCACTCACCTCTCTTGCTGCGTCTCCAGCGGCCGCCTTGGCAATGACTGTAATCCATGCAGTTCAGGATGATCAAGGCAAAGGGGAAGAGGCGAAACTGCATCCTTCGGTTGCGGGCTGGCGCGACTCAGGCAGCGGCGAAAGGAGTGCGGGGAGGTCGGCAGTCCCCGACAGCGGCGCCGGGCAGCTCCGAGCCACCCTCCGGTCGAAGAGGCGAAGTGACAGGCAGCGGGAGAGGGCGGTGTGCAAGGCGCGGCGGCTGCAGCAGAGCCGGCCGGGCGACACTCACACGCCTGCCGGGCCCCTTCGCAGAGCTTGCGCCGTCCCGGCAACTTCGAGCATCTCCGCCGATCTGGAAGGGAGACGCGCGAAAGTCACACACACGGAGCGCTCAGTTCGCCATCCTACGCGCACTTACCTGAGAGTAAGTCCCGCTGAATTCAGTGGGGCTTACTTCCGAGTAGACACGCTCCGGGCGAGGCTGCATCGCTTCCACAAGTCCCCCTCTTGGAGAAACACCTTTTACATCCGCGTAAAAACGCCATGGATCCGGCTGCCCCGGTATCACGGGGGCATCGATCCAACGGCACGAGGGTCCAGAAATCCCGCTGCAGGCAACGAGAACCGACTCAACTGTCTTACTTACGGTACTCCCGGGACGGCAGCTTTCGTTTCGTTTCCCACACCCTACACCGGGTGCAGGCTCCATGGAGGTAGCGGGAACACGTAGTCGGATTTGGGGGTGTTTTCCCAAGCACGAAGCGAGCCTCGCGCGTTCGCCCGTGGGCGAGCCGCGCGGCTTCCGGACGCGACTCCCTCCCTCCGAAGCGCGCGCGGCTGCCGCCGATCTCACGCACGTGGGAGCCCCGTGGGTTGTCCTGCGGAACGGGGAGAGCTTGCCCGCAAGCGCCCGCGCATCCGAGGATCGCGCCCGCGAGGGTTCTTTGCACGGCCCCCTCCAGCCGCCCCTGCCTACCTCTTCCGCCTCGGAGACGAGCAGATCGCCCCCGCCGGCATCCGAGCTCGCCCTTAGCCCCCGAGGCGCGCAGAGGCGCTCAAACCCGGGCACGCCGCCGCCGCCGCGGCGGAGGAAAGCTCTTTTGCGAACTGGGGTCCCGGCGCGGGTGTGAAGGGGCCGTGCGCGAACGCGGCTCGCCACACGCGACCGGCCGAACGGCGCTAGGAAGGCTCTCCCCAAGCGCGGGCGGCGGCGAACTGGCCCCGGTTTGGGCGACCCCGCCGGCAGCCGGATCAGGCGAGACCGTCGCCTCGCTTCGCCTTGCCTCTGCTAACGACACGTGGGCCGTCCATCGGCAAAGTTTGGGGGCCGCTGCGAACGCGCGCCGGGGACTCTCTTTCGCCCCCGCGCGCTCTTCCAGGGAGCGGGCCGACCGGCCAGCTGCCCGCCCGCGCGCCCTGCCCACCTGGGGAAGCTGCGGGGAAAGAGGGCGAGCGACGTTCCCCTCCAGTTGGCTCCTCGACAAGCTGTCGGCTCCTTCTTTCCCGCTACTTCTCTTATACAGGCTCTCGGATGCGCGCAAATCGCAGCCCTTCTGCCACTCTCGCTGCGGGGCTCGCTCCCCGAGGCGGCGCGGTAAGTAGGTGGCGCTGTGCGCCACGGCAAGCCGCCGCCGGAGAAGCCCGTGCCGCCTTCCTCCCACGCCTTGGGGGCAGCGGAGAGAAGGGGTCGGAGGCTGGTGGCCCCCCAGAGAGTGGGTTTTTCAGTTTGGCAAAGCCTGCAACTTCCCTGGGCTCCAGCCAGCTAAGCCAGTGGAGAGAGGGCATGGGAGTTGTAGGCCCACGTGCTGCCCATGCTCCTAGCTCCCTGTGGGCTCCCTGGACATTTCCAAAGGTGGGTGAACGAATGCCAGATGTTCAAGCTTTAGAACTCGGCTTCCTTCACTGTGCCTTTGGTTTTTCCAGCGGCGTTTTTGCTTGTCACGTAGCTTGTAAAGGCGCAGGAATGGTGCAAGAAACACACACAGGTGCACACACACACAACGTAGATACTTTCCAGGCTACTGTCAGAGTCGATGCTTTGGACTCCAGTTTCAGCTGCATCTCCCATTCAAGGCTGTCAGGTATGGGAAAAGGGATTCCACTGCCAGAGCTGCTGAAAGGCAGGGTGCACATGAGTTAGAATGGACTGACTCCATGGACTGATCCAACTTTATATAGGTGGATCTCAGCCTTGCTTGTGAGAACATAGCTGCTGATAACCAGAAAGCCAGATTGCAGGAAGAAATTACAATCCACTTAGCTGGAGTTGGAGGAGGTGGCTTGTTAGTCCTTCACTGGCCCTTATGATAGAACTGTACTATATTTGAGTCACTCCTGAAATATGCAAAGGGATACTAAAAGAAGGGGCACCTGAGCATGTGCAAATGGATTTTCCCCATCACTAAATAATTGCAGTCACATGCTGATAGAGAACTCATTCTGAGAATGTAGATCCTGATATGACCAAAAAGGCTCCATATGTTAACCGAAGCAAGCATGATTAACTTGGGCCCCTCCAGATGTTTTGGTCCACAACTCCCATCAGCCCCTGCTCTAAAGGAAGGAAACAGCAGACCTCTGAAGTGTGTGGATATACAAGAAATCTATTGTGAGGGACTCCCAGATCAACTCGGTGAAGACTGGGCGTGTTCAGTGGCATGGACTGTGTTTCGGAAGAAAACTAAAGGGGAATTGAATGGTATCTCCTGGGAAAGGTCATGGCTGAACAGCAGCACCTAACACTGCTGGAACATTTTGATGCAGGTCTTCCTTGTATCCCAGAGATCAGGTATATCAAGAGCAGGGCATACAAAACAGAGGGTATATTTTTCTACTATGCTTATTTATTATAGTCCCCCCATTCCTTGAGGAAGCTTTACTATTCCATTTTATCCTCACCACAGCACTGTGAGACCGATTGCCCAAGGATCCTTTTCTGATGATCCACAATTTGATCCTGCCTCTCTCCAAGCAAGAGATGCAAGTGATTGGCTTTCCTGCCGGATCCCACAAAGCCAATTAGGATCTCTTAATTATCACAACTTGACTCCAGGAACTTATTCTAATGCCAAGACTTGGGGGCTGCATGCTTGGAGAGAGGAGCATAGATTCTCTGGAACAAATACGGTGGTAGGAGCAAAAGAGGAAGGGGATGACCTTGCTGCAACATCAGCATTCCACTGGCCCGACTTGTAGCTAGGGATCCTTCTGGACTGAAAAGTGGAATAAAAATCAAACAAACAAAGGCATTTCAAAAGCTGAACCTGGGGAGGGGAATGCTATGCGCTGTTAAGTTGTCTCTGACTTACAGTGACCCTAAGAATGAAAGTCCTCTAACATGTACTGCCTTAACAGACCTGCTCAGCTCTTGTAAACCCAAGGCTGTGCCTTCCTTTATGGAATCAATCATATCAAAAAACAATAAACAGGCCAGCCAAAAATAAAAGATAGGCACCCAGCTAATTGGATCGGGCTCCTGAATCACCAAGAAGATCTATAAAGAGGGCTGGCTTAACCCGGCACAAAAAGATAGCAAATTTGGCAACAGATGGACTGCAGCGGGAAGTTTGCTCCAAAGATGGGGAAACCACCACAAAAAAAGCCCCCCACCCCACCCCGTCAACACCTTCTGAGCCTCTCGGGTATTTGGCTCCTGGAAGAAGGCCCCAGAGATTGGGTGTAGTATCCAGATAGATCAAGGCTGGGTGAGGTTCTCTGACATGTATTGTAGCCACAAGCCATATGGGTGATCTTGGCTTTGATCTAGGAAAGATTTCTTTGAAACCAGTAGCTATCCAGGCTTCAAATACTAGTTGAATACCTTTTTTCAAATACTAGTTGAATACCTTTTTTCAAATACTAGTCGAATACCTTTACAGCACGATGCTATTCAACTTTAGACAGGAAAAGAATCCTACAACTCCTATCATGCTGGCTGGGGTATGCTTCTATTGTCTAAAAAGCCATAGAATTGTGCAGTTTTGTATTGCCGTGTTTTAATTTGCACACTTAACTGATTTAGATGGCAAATGGGAAAAATCATTTTTCTTGAGCTTCTGTGTATCTTTCTCTTTGTGGCCTCAGTAAGATAGGATGGGGGCATGGATGAGCTATAGGAAACAAATTTAAAAGTAAATACCTAGATTCACCAAATTTAGTTTTCATTGTAATGTTTGGCCAGGGTTTCATGTATGTTTAAATGTACATAGAAAAACCCTGTCCTGAAATGTTGATTAATTTTTATAGCTGCTTTTGTAACCTCTACTCTTTCTTATGTTCCAGTTTATGGGCATTATTTGCAAAACAAACAAGCAGTGATTAAACAAAGAGCCTTAAATACATTTGGCCTATTATATCTTATCGAAGGCCATTATGATATCTGAGATTCCCCAGGAATATGTCCTTAATGAAACCAGTTTAGGTTGTAAGGGGATGGTGTTCTTCTGTTCTCCTGGCCCCCATTATTTAAGTTACAGTGTAAGCATATTTACTTAAAAGTAAGCACCATTAAATTCCATGGTATATACTCCTAAGTAAATTTGAATAGGATTGAAGCCATATTTCTTTCCAGGTCTGCCAAAATCCAGGACTCTTTGGTACTCCGGATTTAGTCATGAAAAGATGGAGAAATTTGAATCTGAATATGCTTTATCCACAGATTAGAAATATAATAAATAGTATGCTCTGCTAGGCTTTCTTTTTGTGTGTATCTGTTTGTGTTTGTGTGAGGGGGAGGGGGAGGTGGTCTTTTCATACCCCCTAAACCTGCAGGACAGGATGGATTGTACCTGATGGTCAATGTAAGCAAAAGAAACACAAACCAGATCAAGTCTGTTCCATCCATCCCTTCTGTCAAGTGCCAGGTCACTAGCACTGTGCCAAAAAATCTGAGAACGAGCTACAGTTGTTTTTTGTTGAGCTTAAAAATAAAACAAAAGCCTCCCTCAGATATTCACACACACATTAAAAAAAACCTACAAATTAAGTTCTCAGAAAGGCCTGGAGGATATTCATGCACTAGAGTTTACCCATCACAACAACCCAGTTTTGTTTTGTTTTGTTTTAAAACCCTGCATTACTTTGTGAATAGAGCAGGAGTGGGTT